ATCGTGGTACCCTGAAAATAAGACACTGTCTTATTTATTTTTTTGGCTCAAAAAGAATACACTAGGTCTTATATATTTATTTTTATGTACAACGTTCCAAAGTTAATGCAAATCCAAATCCAAATTGAATAATCCAAAATGGCAAAGTTAAGAATAGGTTGATCAGGGCAATCAGGGGTGCCGTACCTTTCCAAGAGCAATTTGGTAACCAATTGCTGTCTAGAATGAGCGTAGCGCGTTTTCCCTATAGTTTCCTCACAGACGGAGTGCATTTGGTATCGCTTTGTCTGTAACAGGAGTCCGCTCTATAGAGGAGGCATCGGCTTATGCGGCTCTGCTCCCTCCGCTGCCGCCTCGCTTCCTCTAGCACCGGCTTCGCTGGCACCGCTGATTCTCTCCCGCGGCTCTTCAAGTTCCCCCTTATGCCACCACAAGCCCTAGGAATGGTCACAACTAGGTCTTATTTTCGGGGTAGGTCTTATATTTTAGCTATTCCCACAAAGAGTACTAGGTCTTATTTTCGGGGTAGGTCTTATTTCTGGGGAAACATGGTATACATCTCCCTATGGTGCTGCCCTGACTAGTTCCATCAATGTGAATACATTCAGCCGCTGCAGAACATGCGCCACAAGCCTTTACCTTCCCAGACATGGCCTCCAGGGTGGGGGGCAGGGTGTTCCCGCTCAAGCTGGCTAGCAGGGGATCACTGTAGGAGTCTCCATCATACACAAAAAGGTAGTCGTATGTGCACTCTGTATCCATGAACAGAAAGCGGAGCAACACGCGGTAATGGCTGTTGGGTGCTGCAAGAATAAAATTTAAGATAAGTGTTAAAGTTCTGAGTCAATGAATGATTTTGTGTTCAGCAAACCATGGTAGATGTTGAAGATTGCTACTGTCAGGTTCAATAACCAAACATGTTTCCTCATGGTTAGCTACACACAGAGCCATTAACGTATTGATATCAATCCCTAAAATCTCAATGCCAGGCTGGTGCCACTCAAGGGATAAAGGAAGCTATAAAACAACACCCCATTTTGTAAAAGGCACCATCCCAGCCTGAAGGAGAAACAAGGTGAACACCTCAGATGTCTCCAAGAAGGCAGGATTAGACTTGATAGGGTATGTGAGACGGGTAATAACATAAGCTAGCTTATTAACAAATGGGGTGTCACGTCATAACTTCTAAACAAGCTGGCTTCTGCAGCTTACAAAATGTTTAAGATTTTGATGAGTAGGTAAACTGAACCAAGTTACGTTATGGAGCAGGGCTATTGTCAGTCCTGCCATCCCCTACTGAGAAACAACATTTGGAAAGTAGGAATGTAACAAAGGCACCACCATCTGAAAAGCTCAGAGACAACCAGTTCCAATGCTGCTAACAATAGCAAATGGGAGTTCCTTACTTTTTCAGTTACTTAAAGTAACATTAAAGTATACATTACCCCCACCCCCCAATGTTAGTGTAAGCACTTACCTTAAATGATGCCTCTTAATCCGATATTCTTCTTTGCTGTCGTTTTCAGCTGTCCCTCCAGCGCTGCTGCGGGTCTCCGATCCAGCGTTCACTCCTCTGGGCTTGCTGGCACTTCCTGTCCCACAGAGTCTGCATGCGGGTGCACGCTGTCCATAGACTTACCTTGTGTATCTCCTTGTCCCCCGGCCAAAAATCTGAACTGCGCCAAGATCCGTTGCGGCCGCCCAAAATATTTCAGATTTTCGGACGGGAGAGCACGGCGAGACATAGGTAAGTTTTAACCTCTTTTAAAACGTTTTTTGCATAGATCTACGGCTTGCTAGCAGTAGATCTATGCAAAAAAACCTGAGGGTTTAATACCCCTTGGATATTACATGTTTGCCCATTGTGTACTCCCTTGGAACAGCATGGTACTGCTGGATCACCGACTTTGACTACCTCGTACCTTCAATCAACCATTCACAGTTGCCGTTCACCGAATAGTTTCCTGGGCCGTCGCTCACAAATCCCGGCATACTACGCAGCACTGTCCGATGCCCCTTGCAGTCCCCCGATGTTGCCACGTGGACTTGGGACAACAGAAGGAGGCAGGGCAGCCAGCTCCATGTCCACAAGCCAGCGTGGACCTCCATCTCCGTTCAGCATCCCTCGGGAGCGGACCTGGAAAGAAAAGCATGAGAGTATTCAGAAGAAAAAAAAAATCAGAAGTGGAACAAATAGTTTCTTCAGAATTGTTACTGATTAGCCAACATCCTCCAGTGCCAGCTCAGATGGTTAAACGCTCTTTACACAATTTCCATTCGCCATAACATTCGGACAATCCACTCTTCTGTGTCTGAGCTACTCATTAATTATTTGCAAGTTCAAAAGTAAAACCATGACAAGGTGTCACCAATACAAAGCACGGAGCAACCAGTTACATATAAATGTGCAGAAAATATTTAATATGTTACAAATCTACGTTGGATATGTCCTTCAAATTCAACCTTAAAAGGAATATATGATACATGGGTATATGGCATTTTGTTTAAATGGGGGCTGACCATGGGTACGCTTAATTCATAGTGTATTGAAGCGGTACTCTCTGCATCAGCAGAGGACCACCCCAGATCACAGATGAGGTAAAAAGGAAGAAGACCCCGCGCATCACATGACCGGCCTGTAGACATCTGCTACATGTAAGTATATGGGGGGAAAAAAGTGAGGCCTCAAGGGGGTGGGGGGCATGGGG